TTCCCTCCCCCCTCCCTTCTTTAGATATACTCTCCATTTCTTTCTTATTTCATCGTTTGCCAAGTTGTTATTAACGCTCCTGCTCGCTGTGTTCGAAACCCCTTGTTCTGCTCGTCCGGACAATCTGTCAGGACGAGCAGGACGACGAGGACGTGGTCGGATCCCTCTGATACCTCCATTACCCACAATGCAACCAGTTAGGAAGTAAACATTCGCTGTTTTTTTAAGCAATTGTCTTAAAGCTATATAGGCTTATGATTACTCTGACATATAGGCAACTTATCTCCAAAGTCAAGCTCTGATACACCTGAAAGAGCAATTATTATTATCTTTTGGTTGCCCGCAACTGTCAATGTTTATATGCACAATGATTATATACACAAGTTACGTCATCTCGTATTGTTCGCCTGGCCGCAAAGAGGGCGAGGAAGACGTGAGGAAAAAACTTGTACCGGACGCCTAAGCAGGGGTACCGAGCGGTCTTCGCAAACTTATTGGAGGAAAATGTATATATATATATATATATATATATATATATATATATATATATATATATATATAATATATATATATATATATATATATATATATATATATATATATATACATATTTCTAGCTGCTTCCACCTTGTATTGTATCTAAAGGTAGATTTCAAGAATTAATGTATTTATAGATACACATGTATCTTATTAACTTATCAATTTCTTATTTTCCAGATGTCTGCCACTACATACTTAAAATTCGCAGTCGCTGTGAAAGATGTTCTCGTGGCTTTGGTGGAAAAAGCGCCCGATATTATCAAAGCCTTAAAGGAGGATGGCAGCGGGAAGGTGAAACAGGAACACGAGGATCTTGCACAGGTCAGTGGAATGAAAGGAAAGGAGAGGAAGGAGAAGGAGGGAAGGGAAGGGGAAAAGAGGGATGGAGGTAAAATGAGAGAGAGAGAGAGAGAGAGAGAGAGAGAGAGAGAGAGAGAGAGAGCATGAATGAATAGGAATAGGGAGGTGAGGCAGAGAGGTACGAAAGGAAAAGGAAGAGGCGGGGGGATGTGTGGGGAGGAAAATAGAGTAAGGAAGGAAAAGAAGTCAAGAATAGGGGAGAGAGAAGAGAGAGAGGAGATAGAGGGAGGGAAGGGGAGAAAAGGAAGAGAGATGGAGAGGGAGAGGGAGGACAGAAGGGAAGGGGAAGAGTGGGATGGATGATTGGAGGAGGGGGAGGGAAGGAAGATTGGAGGAGGAAGGGGAAGGCGGGAAGGAGAAGGGAAAGATATGAGGAGGGAGGGAAATGGAGGAAGGAAGGGAAGGAAAAGAAAGGGTGGGTGGAGAGAAGGGTGGATGGATGGAGGGAAGGAAGGGAAGGGTAGGGGGAGGGAGGAGAGAGGAGGGGGAAAGGAAAGGGAAGGGGCGAAAGATTGAGGGGAGGGAAATGGAGAAGGAAGGGAAGGGAAAGATAGGGGGAGTACAGGGAGGGGAAAAGGAGGGAGAGAAATGAAAGAAGGAAGGGAAGGGAAAAAGAAGGTGAGATGAAGGGAGGGAGTGTGGGGAAGGAAGAAAGGAGGGGTTTAGTGAGTAAGGAGAGAGGGGAGGAAGAAGTAAAGGAGGGTAGGGAGGGAGGGAGGAAATTAGGAAGAAAGGAAAGATGGAACGGAGGAAGGAAAGACGGAAGGAAGGAGGGAGGAAAAGGAGAGAAGAGATAGAGCGAAGGAGGGAAGTTAAATGGAAAGATAGCCGGAAGAGGGTGGGATGAATAAAGAGAAGACGGGAAGGAATAACAAACAAGGGTGAGAAGAGAAGGATGAAGGAAAGGAGGATGAAGAGGTGAGAAGGAGATGGAGAGAGAGAGAAACTGGGAAGCAAGGAGAGAGGGAAGGAGGGAGTAATTGAGTATGTGAGTGAGTGAATGAGTGAATGAGGAAGAGAGAGTAAAAATGAGGGAAAGGGAGAGAGAGATGGAGAGGGGAAGAGAGAGAATGAGGTGAGAGAGAGAGAGAGAGAGAGAGACTGGGAGAGGAGAATGGAGAGGTGAAAGAGAGAGAATGAGGAAAGAGAAAGAGAGAGGGAAGGAAAAAAAAGAGGAGAGTGAAAGAGAGAGGAGGGTGGAGAGGGAGAAAGAGAAAATGAGGGAAAGAGAAAGAGAGAGAGAGGAGATGAAAAGAGAGGGGGGAATGGAGAGGGGAAAAGAGAGGATGAGATGAAGAGAAAGATAGAAGTAGGAATAGAGAAGGGAAGAGAAATAGAGGGTAAGAGAAAGAGCGAAAGGGGAATACACACTCACACACACGCACACACACATATATATACATACATATAACACACACATATATATAGAATATACATGCCAATAATTGTGTGAGTGAATTTACATAACAGAGTGTCCTTCACTTAACAGGACATATGCGCCCTTCGGAAGGAACAAGACCGGACTTCAGAGAAAATCAACGCCTTAGTTGAGGTGAGTCAATAATAATTTGTATTAATGATTGTCAAATAAGAGAGTTACGCTGTTGTTTGGTAAATCTGTTCTTGGGGACATCGGTAAAAGGAACATACTTTTCTCGATTTTCTATTTACGTATATTTGTATTTTGTTCTCTCGCCTCCTCCTCCTTCTTTTGGTTTTCTTCGTTTTCGTTGTCTTCTTTTCCAGCTCCTCTTCTCCTTCCTTCTTCTTCTTCTTCTTCTTCTTCTTCTTCTTCTTCTTCTTCTTCTTCTTCTTCTTCTTCTTCTTCTTCTTCTTCTTCTTCTTCCTCCTCCTCCTCTTCCTCCTCAGCCTCCGTTAACTCCTCTTCCCCTTCCTCCTTCACTACCTTGTGCTGCAGACCATTTTCCTTTCAATTTTTCTTAAATAATAACTGCGAATTCATCCAGTCGCTATATATACCTTCGTTGTTTTGCAGAGCCAAGAAAAATTGAACAAAACCCTCGAGCTGCTGATAAGACTGCTGACAGCGCTAGATAGCCTGCCGTCAGGGACTTCGCGAGACCTGCGAGAGAGCATTCGCGACGTCTTGGGTCAAGGAGGCCTCCGCCAGGACTCAGGCGCGCCTGTGCACGAGGCAAGGCGGCGTTTTGTGTGTTTGTTTTGTTCGTCTAATTCCTTTCTCTTGTCTTTTTCTTTGTGGTTTATAGGTATACGGTATATATAGAAAACAAAAACAATTAAAGAATCAAGCAGGTACTGTATGTACATACATGCATGTTAATAGCATTTTTCTTTTTTCCAGGAAAATTTTTATTCGTCAGATCAGCATTATGAGAACAGCTCTGAAAACCAGGTAATGTTGATTTAAAAAATATTTACAGGAATACTATATGGTTTGCATCTTTGTAGGTAAAAGGTATCAACGAAACGTATAGTTTAGGCTATTGGACCAAATCGTTGTGTGTAGATGTTTTTTTTTTCACTGGAAAATAGGAAATCAGATCAGTGTAGATGGCTAATGAGAAAAAAATATATGCAACTACCTCGTTTAATCTTTTTCGTCGGCATTAGCTACTTGAAAAGTACGCTTATCAAACCGTTTCACCTTTTGATTTTCTCATAATAGGAAGGATAAAACAAAAAATTATTTTTCAGTGCTTCTGAATAGATTAAGACAAAGACCACTTCAATAACTGCGTCCTGAGCCATCGAAGGCATATACGCATGTGTTTCTTTTTCTTTTATGTATTAATAAAAAGTTGTGATCTTCAAATTGCTATTCATTTTTAAAAAATCAGATATTTAAAATAAAAGCGGTAGAAAACCGAAATCCTTAGAATTCAGTAATGCCATGACAATTAGTTTTACAACCCTTCACGACCAGTTCATTCAATGGCGTAGATAAGATAATGTCCCGGACTTCTTACCGCGAAACAGCAAAAAAGTGTTAGTTACTAATCCAACCGCCTGTCGCCTGCCTGCCTCACCTCCAATCCGAAGCGCCTTCATCATTGGCATAATAATCCTATAAAAAGACTTTTAAGACCATTTTGACCTTGTCCTGCATCGAGCCATATGGGAAATGCTTTTCACAAGCTCATGACATCTAAAGTCTCGATAGTATGAGTCCCTCCTTTGTATAGTAATGGCTGAAGCCATCAACCACTCTCTCGTCTTTAGCCAGCATAAATGTCCTTTTATTAATGGAGATCTGCCAGTTCACGGCATGTATTAAGAGACCCTCGCCTGAAACGCACAAAATCAGACGAAATATGAGGCGACTTAAGGCGCTCTGATAACTGCATGCGAGCTCCACCCGACAGAGGCAAGGGCCATCAACGATCGTCGACTCCGCCTCAAGGGCCTCGCCCCTTGGGCTCATCCTTAATACGGCGCGGTCGCATTGAGGATGAGCCGAGGTCGGCACGTCCGTAGCTTCCCACCTTTTGGGAACGCACGAAGATCACCCCCAGAGGCCCCGTCTTGCGGAGACTCCTTTCGGCTGCAGTTCCCCTGCAGATTGACCTGCCTGTGGTGCCCAGCCAGTCTACCGCGTTAATAGGCGAACCGCGTCATGTTTCCAGACTGGCAGCGCTATAGATTATTATACACATTATCCCAGCCGGTTCAGTTGCGACGTTTGCTTGGTGACGCCACGTTCTTGGGCACCTCCCCCCCCCCGCCCCCTTGATAATAATCGATGGTCCAGCGCTCGTGGGGATGTATTGCAGGGCCATAACTTATTGCGCAGCAAAGTTATCAGGTCGTCGAAAGGATACCGACAATGACATCGTTCACAACCACTTTCTGTGAAGTATCTTATATATATATATATATATATATATATATATTATATATATATATATATATGTGTGTGTGTGTGTGTGTGTGTGTGTGTGTGTGTGTGTGTGTGTGTAGACAGCTGTATACACATATATTTACATGTATATGTATATGTATATATTATTTACATGAAGTATGTGAAGCATAGAAAGAGAACAGTTAATAGAGCGAAATGGGGTTAGGCAGAAACTGTGGACTAATATACAGGACACCGTGTTTTGCAGGCTCCCTCAGGGAACCTGTGCAGTCTGCAGGTCGACCTACAACGCGCACGATCGTCGTCCGCTTATCTTCTCCAGCTGCGGCCACACCTTCTGCGAGGAATGCCTTAGTAAGGTTTCTGTTGTTTGTCTTTCTGTGAAATTGTTTGTCTTGAAGTGTGGTCTCTGTATTGGTGTGTTCCTTTTTTTTGGGGGGGTGAGTGTTATGGCTTTGTTTCCAATGTCTTGGTGCCTCGTTTTTTTCCCCGCTTTATTTTTGCAATAATTATGTTAATTTCAGAGAAATATACAACGAGTAAGTAACAGGGTATACTATATACATTATGTATGTGTGTGAATAATGATTAAATGAATGATTAAATGGATTGATGAGTAAATAGATAAATAGATAAATACGTAGATAGAATAAATTAAGATATCTAAGAAATAGTAAATAGTAAATAAATAGATATAGATGAATAAATAGAATGAATAGATAGATTTTTTTTAAATCAATGAATAAATGAACCCATGAAGGAAAAGAT